CTTGGATTAGCCAGGAACTGCTCTGGTTTCTTCCCTTTCCTGATAAGTGGAATCTAGAGATACCTTGTTGATTATTGAACTTAATCTTGATAGTTAGTTGTTGACTCCACACTGGCACTGGAACTAATTATGCCCTAACAACTTAAAGTAACATCTTGCAACTACTTAGTGAGGAAATATTTTCACATGCAAAATTATTCAAATGCATTTACAATCCATGGCTTTCTCAGTTATAGTCTATAATTATTGGAATAGTGGTATCTGACAATGATATATACTAAATAATATATTGAATTACAAAAACTTACAGTAGAAAAATGACCTTAGGCCAAAAATACAAAATCTATCAAAGGTAACTGTGTTGCTGAGATGGTATCAGCCTGTTTTCAGAGAGTACATCTTGAAGCCCTGCTTGTCTGTGTGACAGGGAAGGCAGCTTTTAGGAATGTACAAAGTTTTATGTAATGAATTGTTTTCACCCAAATCTTTTCAGTATGAATAATTATGGCTTGACATGTCTCCAAATCTATTTGGGATGTGTTAAAACTACAGGGCCAGATTCTTAAAGACAAAGAACTCAAACAGTTTTAAGCCCTACTTGCTCAGGCATTCATTAGAAACCTTCATCTCTTCTCATGTGATGTTGCTCAATTTGCCAGAACTTGAAATACAGGATACAGATACTTCAGGACTCAAACTCTCTGTCAGTGGAGAACAAGGTGAAGAAAAAGAATGCTTAAACTGAATAAACTAGATCTGCTGGCAGGAGTAAAAATAAATAAATAAAATATAATCCACTCATACGAAAAAAAAAAAAAAAGCCTGTAGGTAGAATACGTAGTTTTCTAAATAGCCGTAACAGAAAGCAAGGCCTTGTGTCAGGCACACAAGATGGTGACACTTGACATTTGGTCTTATGCATGAGTTTATCTTCACTGCAGAAGTTACAAACAAATTCAAGAATGAACATTTTACTAGTTTCAGTGCAATGTAGCTGTCGTGACTGATTGGCAAACCTTGCAAAGGGCAGAAAGGTTCATCTTGCAAGGAACTTGTGGGTTTAAAAAACAAAGGAGGAAAAAGAAAAACGAAAAATAGTGCAATAAGGCAGAGGCTCAAATTAATATTTTTAGAAACCTTTTCAAGTGGAGTACTCCTGTTTTCAGAATTGTCAGAGCTTTAGGCTTCATTCCTGCATATGTGTTGTCACAAGCAGCACAAGTTAAAAATGTGGGTCTAACAAGATGGAGACAAATCTGTTAGCACCAAACAGACAAGAATGAGCTATGTGACTTGGCTCTTTTGGATATCTAAGAGTGCCCAAAAAGAAACAAAAGCTGAAAGTGACTGTCAGCAGTAGAGAAAAGTTTTCTGGAACAAATACGTCTGTCCCCACATTCCCCTACCCCAATTCTCCCTCCCTTCCCCTGTATCTTGCCTGCAGCTGCACTTCTAGTTAAAGCTGTTCAGTGAAGCAGCTCACTCTCAGCACAGGAGGTGGAATGTGTTCTACACTGCTGTGCTAAGTATCAAACTTAGGCTCTCTCTTTTGGTCTATTTGCCTTGGCTCTTGTCTGTACCTGGGACTGATCCTGTCTTCTGTAAGCCAGTGAGAGTTTCAGCTAAGCAGAGCTATCTAGAAAATTGTGTTGCTACACAGGTAGCATAGTAGAGCATCCCTTTGCTACGATGTTTCAGATCACATTCTCTCATCAGCTATTTTCTGTGCTTGCTCTGAACAGAGAGAAGAACTAGCTATAGACAGTGTTTTCTGTGCAGTTCACCATCAACTTTGCAGGTGAACTTGGTTCACGCTTTTAATCTGTGCATGAGAACAAAAAGTTTTGTGAGTTGCAGCTTGGCTTCTTGTATTGCAGGAGAGAGAGATTTTTTTTTTGGTTCTGAACAGAGTTCTGTGAGCAGCAAGATTTTTGTTGATCCCAATTTTTATATCACTGGTCATTCGGGACTGTTTCTGTCAGTATGAAGTATTCTCTGTAAATACATACAGTTACTGTCTCCAATGCCCAAGTCCTCCTTAACCAGTATAAATCAGAGTAATTCTTTTGATTTACGTGAACTGGCATAATCTCATTTAGCTGAAAATCTGGGCCAGAGTACAGGAAGCAGTATTAGTCAGGGAACATTACAATAGGTTCTAATTCTTCTTCTTCTTAATACTTTCATAATGATGTGGAGTGTTTTGAAGTTGACATAGTCCAAATAAGGTATTTCTGATTTTATGTTTGGAGCGTCTCTGGCTCGTTAAGTGGAACAATAAGTGGAACAATGTCCTTGATTAAGGGGTTATGTTTCATTATTACTTCACAAGCAATGAAAACTAAGCTAGAATTTGAAGTTTTGAGTAATACTAAAGCTCCAAGGAGCAAAAATGTTTCCTTAAGAGATGAACAGATTCTATGTGCAAGTATTGCACAGTCAGATAGCTTACCTAATTTAGAATATAAATCATTGAGATTAATGACGTTATAAGAGCTGGATTCATATATTTAGGGTATGTAAAATGAAGTAAAGAAAAAGGATTTCAAGAATCTTAATAACTTGAAAGAGCAATGGGAAATGCATTTCTATTCAAATAAAAAATGATGATGCCTTTCACTGGGAGCTGAGCTTTTACAATGGGTCTTTCAACGAGGGATCTCAAAACTCTTTTTGAAACATTGAATTAGGTCTTGACACTGCAGCCTTTATCAAATGAGCAGTCGCAAAGCAAAGGAAATGCTCAGCTAGTTTTGCAACTGACGGCTGGGAGCTGGAGCCTTGCCCTGCGAGGTGGTGAAGCTTTACTTTCCATAATTTTCAGAAGGAAATGAAGGAGTAAGTGAAAAGTGTGATGTACGCAAAGTCACAGTACCAACCTAGCAAAGTTCTGGATTCAAAACCCTACAAGGCACACGTAGGCTGCAATTTCATCTTTCTCTTCTGATGCTATGTTGAAAAGGACAACTGCTTTGAAATTTAAACCAAAAAGAGATATTCATGACTTTCTGTGTGGTTTGTCATCCTGACGCACTTTGTGGGAACACTGGTGAAAATCTGCTGGAAGGAAAAGGCGAAAAAGTTAACCATTAAAGTCTGCTGACCATAAAACCAGCTGATCTAAACTGATGTTCACTACCCTTCATTCAGTAGACACCACCTTTCTTTTTTTGTCCTGTCAAAATTATTCCAATAGGAGATAATGTGTGTCCTGAATATATATAAATGATATATGCTTATATAAGCTCTGAATTTGTGTTCTGTGTATGTATATCTTGTCACTTTATTTTTCTATCCCTCTGTCTGGTTTACATTCATGAAATGCAATAAAGAAAACTGCCACAAGCACACAGAACTGAGAAAAGTACACTTTGGCATATCCAGGGGCAGCCCTCAATGTCACTGCTTTATTGTAGACAGATGATAGTGCAGTGAGAGAACATTCTGATTTGTAAATGATGGCTTTAGAAAGGCAGGACAAATGCCAGTAATCTGCTGCGTTTTGCAGCATCAGTGCCGTAAATAGGCATGCTCTCGTGGTTGAACAAATTTTAAATTTATGGTAAGTATAAGCACACGTCATTAATTTTATATAGTTTAAGTGATAATAGCCAGCCTCTGCCAGCATGCTAATGTATGTAATCTGTTCTTTACAGCCCAAAGCCAGATACTCTTTTATTTGCGTGCTCATACTCCGGTAAATTAATTTACACAGAACTGAAGGGGAGGGGGTAGAAAGAAAACATTTTTCGTGCTGTCGCTGCCCCTCGGATATCCGACTGTGTAAAGCGTGTGTCGGGTGGCCGTCCGTCCCGTCCCGCAGCTCCGAGTGGAGTGGGAGGGTCACGCTGCGTGTGACTGATAAGGGCAGCGCTGCAGCCCCTCACCGCGCTCCGGAGACGCTCCGCAACTCCTCGGCACGCAGCAGCACGGGCATGTCTGTACTACTAGGGGACGAGCTGGAATAGAAACTAAAGGTAAGTGGCTCGCTATTCGCAATGAGTTGTCTGAACAACTTACCTATGCGCGCACGCTTCAGTATTCCTCTTTTGGTGCTCGTGCAGAATTGTTAGCTAAGTTTGCTGGTGATTTAGTCATATTAACTACATCCAATAGAAACGCGCACAGTAAGCGTTTAACGTGCTGTTATCAGCCTGAGCTGTAGGGGTGCCTGTGGGCGATTACAGATGCATGCTAATGAAAGCAGTCCCGGTACATTTGTAGTAATTTACGAAAAAAAAAAAATAAAATAAACCGTTGTAATTCGGCACAGTACTATACATAAACCATGCGGGTACGTATTTACATTTTTCAGCCTATCTGTTAGTGTGTGTTTCTGTGTGATTCTGTGATTCTGTACGTTGTTCTGATCTGTGCTCGCATGGAGCGGCCTGCATCCCGGCACCGGTACCGTCCCCACCAACAGCGGCACGTGCGGAGGGCACGGCAAACCTACAGGAGGGCAGCGCTGCTGGGCAGCCTCGGGGCTCCTCGGCTGCCATCGCCGGGAGCACCGTGCAGCGCCAGCGGGCCCAACCCGCCGGGGAGCGGAGCGCCGCCCGCCGCCGGGCCGCCTTCCACCTGCCCGCCCCTCGCCGCCGCCGAACAGGAGCGTCGCGGGCCCGGCCGCCGCCCGGAGCTGCCCGCGGGGCGGCGCGGCGGGACCGGCTCCGGCCGCCAGGAGCGGTGCCCTGCGCGGGACGGGGCGAGCGGGAGCCGCCGCTCGCATGCCGGCACCCGGCGCCGTGCGCCGCTCGCACCTGGCGGGGCCGGGGGCCCGGCGGCAGAGGGCTCCCTCGTGCAGCGGGGGCGCCGCGCCACCTTCTCCGGCGGCCCGAGTGTGCTGCTGGCGGCGCTTGGGGGAGGAAGCGTCGGCGGATGCCTACCCCGTCGCTGGTCGGGCCGGGCGAACGGGCAGATTCTGGGCAGAACACCGGCGGGGCTGAAGGAGGGACGGTGAAGGGGGCGGGTGGAGGCTGCCCGGTGCCGCGCCGGGCCCACCTCGCCGCGGCGTCGGTCAACCCCTGGCCGCACGCCCCCGGTGTCCGCCCGTTCGTGAGTTCGTGAGGCGTGCCGAAAACAACTCCTTCAGCCGAACCCAACTTCGTCCAAGAGAAACTGAATCGCCCTCGCGTTGCAGTTTGAGCTGCAGGAAGCTCGTCCTGCAGCCTCAGGTGTGCTCGCCGTGTGAAGAGGGAGCGGGTGGCCAAGCGCGGAGCTGCGGGGGGTGAGCGTGAGGTAGCGACCTGCAGGAGCCCTCCAGAGAACGAGGGCTGGCACCGCAGCTCCGTGCTCGTAAAGCAGGTGCGGGAAATTAACTGATAATGGTGCTTGAAGTGTGCTCACCGTGCTGCTGTTGAGGAGGCTGGGAAAGTTAATGGTGGGGTGGTCAGTGTCAGCACATGTGACTGAGAGTGGCTCTGCTGAGAGGTCTCGCAAAGATAATTCTGAAGTATACGTATAGGATTTGCTTTTCTTAACACAAGTTGTGGTTAAAAGAGTATTTGTCACTTTCTGTGTTTCATTGGATTCATGTGTTTCTAGAAGTTAGTTGGCTTGGAGAAAAGCTGATATGCGTAGAGCCTGAAGGACGAGTTGTTATAGCTGGATTGTGCTTCTGTGGTGCTTAACCTGTGAACTCAGCACAGGTAGTGCCAGGCACCTGGGTGCTCTGTGCCAAGGAGAAGCGTCGTATTTCTGTTTGTTTGCACATGCAGGTGTAACACGTTGTCCTTGTTCAGTGTGATGGTTGGGTGCTCAGCAGCTCTTGGCAGCACAGTGACACCGGTTACATTAGGGTATTTAAAACTGAGATCTCAGGGGAAAAGTAAAACTGGTCATTACTAATAATAATTGCCTTCACAGCGAGAACTGAAAGAATATTTCTAAATTTACTTCAGTCTATTTTTATAGTTCCTCAAAATAGATAAATCATATGCTTTGTATATGACTAGTGGTTTACCCTTTTCCTTACAGTTCGAGAGAAGCAGAGATTGTTCTGAATATGTTTATCTTCTGTTTCAGATTTGTGGCTGATTGTTCACATGTGTCCGGGGGGAGATGAAGTGCATTGGATCCTGCACAGTTTGGCTTTGCATGGCAGTCATCCTGCTCTTCCCTGCTTCTACTGCTGTGGCTGTCAGTGACCAGACAGGTACTCCTATTTTTCTTTCACATCACTGCCCAAAGGCATAAATTCTGATACTCAGCCTGTAGACAAATAAGAACAATACATGGGAAATTAAATACAAACAAACAAATCTAGAAAATATATATATTTTTTAAACAATTTTTTGTGATAATGTATAAATTTGAAGCAGTTCACAAGCAGTCTTTCTGTTTCAGATGCTTGAAAGATTCACATTTGGAAGCAGTTGTACTTCCTAAGAGTTGGGTTTTTTTTCTTCTTTTTTTTTTTTTTTTAAATTAACTTACTATAGAAAGCAAGATTCTAAATCAGGGCTTGCAAAACTTATGTGGACAAAATCATGTGGCTTTATTGTAGATAAGTGGTTACACTGATCTAAACAACCTAATGCTCATGTTAACCTAGCCTAAAGTTAATCCTCAAATCACGTCATGTGCTTCATAGACATACAGTGAGACAAGATCTTGTACCTAAGAAAGGGAACAGTAGGAAAGAAGAATATAATTAAATTGTTTACTGTAAAAGCTGTTGCCCATCTTCTGCAAATACTCTTATGCTTCTCCACTTTCCTCTCTCTCTCTCTCACTGTCCACATTATCTTGTTCTGCTACACTCCTACTTCACCACACTTGGTGAAGCGTCAAATTCTGTTTGAAAAGCACATTGTGTGTGGAATTGTCAGTTTTCTAGAAGTGCTCAGCATAACATATACCTTAACTTTCTAGAATTTTCCTTCAGTTATTGGAAAGGAGAATGTATTAATTACTATTTAGACTGAGATTAAAAGTTACTGTTTCTTTTGCAGAAGATGAAATGTATTTGTAGTAATGCTGGTGGAAGATAATAGGATCTGTATATACACAGTAGCTTTGTATCTCTGCAACACCTTTGAAACTCATGCCCCAGTAATGTAAAAGTCAGTTTCTAGCATAATAATCACATTATTTCTCCAGTAGACAATAAATACTACCACTCATTAACTATTAAATGTGATGTGTAGGCTTCGGACTCCACTAATACATTGTGAAGAATCTGAATATAACTTTAAGTTATATTCACTTTTTTGTGTTAGAGTCACTTTTTGCCTTCTGTGTTTAGGGCAGCAAAGCTAAATTCTTCAGCAGTAAGTTATTCTTAACCCCTGAAAGAAAGTGAGAATGGCCACATGATTATCCTCTTTGATCATATGGAAGAGTCAAAATAGGTTGTCTTCTCTTTTGTTGCTACCTAGTGGGTAGACAGAAGGGAAGTTTTACATAAGAGTAGAAGAAAATGAGAGCACAATGCTCCCTAATGATGTAAATAGATACATTTGCAACGTTTTTTTTTTTTTTTTTTTTTCTAATGAAAAGATATCTCAGGAAAAAGTAAGCCTTTCATACAAGTTGTGACAGATAAGCTGAACCACTTGTGAACAGTAAATCTGAACTAGGTTCTAAGTTTGTTTTTGTAAAGCTAGAAGGGAGGTGGAAATTTAGCCTAACCTGATGGCTAGAAATTGATCAAGTATGGGTCCAATAAGACTTCACTGATGTGAAGAAGAGGGGGTGAACCTCTCCTGAGAACAACTAAATGTGTACAACTGAGAGAGGCTTCTGCAGGATGAGGTGATACGTGCAGATGGTGAAGAATAACGAGTAGATAGCTGCCAGCATGTGTGGGTCTGCCAACAGCAGGGAATAAACTTTGAGTGAAGCTTTAAGGTGATAACAGGAAAAAGACTTCGGTAGAGGCTGAAAAGTGTAGAAAACATACAGAATGAAATGTAAGTTACAGACCAGAAAGCAGAAGATGAGAAAGAACAGCCTTTGCAAAGCCAGTGGTAAAGGGTGCTGGTGCATTTGCTGATTGTTGTTAAATCTGCGTCATTCAGTGGAACTCAGTATTTTGTGTTGCAAAACTCTTTTGAGTCCTACAAATTGGTTGTGTGCATATTTGAAGAAGAGAGAAATATCCAGTCTCCTCTATTTCTCAATTTCACTCATCAACCAACTCTTGGGCCTTCATTCTCTCCCATGTACCAGTTCTGAATGGATTTGCTTCTGTCCTTCAGGACCTGCCCAGGTTTCTTCTTTTTCCTGCAGTGTATGCGTAACGTTTGTTTCTCACTAGGCTAATGTAAATGTTTTTTTCTTTTCTGGCAAAGCTCATTTAGATAGATATTTGGATTATTGTGTTTGTATTCTAAAATTTCTTTCTGGATCATCCTGAATCTGATAGTCTTCAGAATGAGGAAAAACTAACCTTGATTTGAAGAGAGGGAAAAAAATAAGTACATTTATGGAAGGAAAACTCCTGCAAGAGAAAGGATAAATTTGTATATACACATAGGAAAGAGACTGCTGAGAAGGCGTTCTGAATCTACTGTGGGACTTGTTGATTTGATACTTTGTTGAATAAATACTAGTATTGGGAAAAGCATCAGAGCGGGTCTTCTTGGAGTGGTTCTCCTTAGGCTCTAAGCAAGGATTTCTGTCAGTTTTCACTTTTCAGAAGCTTTGGTGTGCTAATCATTCATCAGAAGGAAGCACTTAATACATTCCAATGATAGAATATGGTGAACTGAAGGTAAAGGATTCCACAGTCTGATTTGTTAACTGACTTCAGGAGTATTTTCATAACAGAAAGTTTTTATTGTTGGGAGTTCTTGGCTTGAGCTCTTTTTGGAATGACACATGAAGTTCTAATCTGATCATTCCTAAATGCTCCATATTGAGAATATTAATGCTCTGTCTCATTCCCAGATCATTGTTGCTTTTTCAGCTTTCTTATATAATCAATCCTTTTTAAAGTCATTTGGTAACCCATGAAAAATGTAGCATAAATAAAGTCTTGGGACTGCCAGTCATGGTGAATTTCCATTGCCTTTTGACATGGAATGTGTTGTCAAATCTATTGGCTCTAGATCATAATTTCAGATAGGCAATTTAACCCAAATACAGTGAATGGTTTCAGGCATGCAGATTGGTTCAGCTTTTCAGTTTTCATATTTTAGTGCAGCTAGATAATTCTTAAAATCAAGATAAAGTCTCTGTAGTCACTCTCATATGAAACGTGTTCATATTCTTAATACCATGAGTGTTTAAACTCTTAGACTGAATGTTTAAAGTTTGATTCATAACCTATTGTCAGCGTTGCAGAGTTTAAATGACTATGCCACCCTTGGATTCCTTAATTCATGGGTAGATAGCAAGCTTTCTTTGGCAGTGAAGAAGGAGCTTTGAGTATCAGGAAGGATATGGCTCCTGAAAGCCTGCACACTGTGGAAAGACTCTTCAGCTAGTGAGTAAGTAGTACAGAGAAACTGAAACCATAAAGGGAAACAACTACACATTCCCTCAGAGAAAAGCCTGTACACTAGATCAGCCCATTTATTCATGGAAAGCAAGAGAAAGGAAAAATAACTCCTGTAGCCAAGATATCCGCCTAAATATAGTCTTGTTTTTCTACTACCTTCAGTTCCACATGAAAGAATAGTTTTCCAAGGTGTAGTTTAGGCATCCTAATACTTGAACTCAGATTTCTTAATTCCTGCTACCAAAGCTGTGATGCTATTTACATAAGTGTCTAAATAGTCACCAGGACTTGAACTTCTTTCCTGTATCAATGAAATTATATATTCAGTCTCTCGTCCTCTTCCCACCTTTGGTTTTATTAATATTTCTATTGTCACGCAAATAAGTAGTAAGTGGCTTACAGTACAGAAAGAGAAGGAAAAAAATGACATTTCATTTTCTGATAGAGCTTTATGTAAGGCTAAATGTATGTAAGCTAATTGGGGCTTCTGCTGCTAGGCCACATTTATTTGAACAGTTCTGCTTTCTGATAGAAACATCAGTGCCCTCAGAATGTGCATGTACGTGGTGTTAGCAGCTGAAAACTTCACTTAAACATGAACTTTACAGGTGTTTACCTGCTAGGTTAATCATAAAGTGAATCTAGATATTTCAGATTACTCCTGACTTAGGGAAACAAGAGTGCCTATTGGAAGCTACAGTTCCTAGTCAGATGTGCATTGCTTTCTGTCAGTGTAAGTGTGAAGCATGTACCAGAGTCTCCAGTGTCCCAATTTTCATAGAAATCAGTGTTCAGCATGGGACTCAGGGGGAAGCTATCCTGAGCTTCAGCAAGGGCTCTGATCATAGCAAGAACTTAGAATATGACGAGCATGTTACAGAAGAGAAATGTAGATGTAACCCTGTTACTTTGAACTTAGTTTTTTTTTTTTGTTTGTTTGTTTGTTTGTTGTATGAAGCTGTTAGAAAAATGTTTTCCTTGTTAGCTTCTCAGTGGAGAACAAGATGATCGCAATAATTTGTGATAGGCCTGCCTGACCCACACAGATACGTGTTTTTGAATTGATTATGTTGATTTTTATAATAACTTTCTATGTAGACTTCAGTGATTTCTAAGGATGAAAGTCTGCAATTTATTGTATGGGAAGATCTAGTTAATTTATAGGTATGTTAACTTCAACTTCAGTTTCACCATTCTCATAGTATGAATTGGGCTTAATAATATGAATATGGGCTTATCCATATAAGCTCAGTTCTACCACGTGTGGAGGAGTCTATTGTATAAATCTAAGCTTGTTATTTTTACTACTACCTTAGTTTTGCACTCATGTATTATAATGGAGGTGGTAGTTGTGTGTGGTTTGTATGCCTGATAAGGGGTTTGTCTTATTCTTTTTCTTTCCTAAATGCCTTCATGTGAATCTTCTAATTCAGTAACCCACAGGCTGAATGTGTAAACTGACTGCTTTGTCTCAGGCCAAAGAATTTAAGAGTCTGCCAGCAGTACTAAAAATCTTGGAAGAGACTAACTTTTTGACTGCACAAACTATAGAAAGAATTTCCATCAATCTATAGCAATTACAGTTATGAGTCTTGATATGGAGAGCTTTTTGGATTTTAATATTTTATGACTTTGTCTTAACTCTCTGCTGAAATAGTATTAGGCAAAAAGAGTGTACCAGCAGCATAAACAGGAAGAAAAATGATAGTAACTCTTTCAGTTTATCTGAGGATATGGAAAACAACCAAATAAATAACATTTGCATGGCCTGTCTATGGACTGTTATGAAACTGATAAAAATAGGTCCACAGTCCAGTCTGTGGCATGTAAGGAATCATTGCTATCATCTGGATAACAGAAATTAAGGCTTTTATTCTTTATTTGGAGTTGTAGGAAAGTGGCTGGTGGGAATAAAATAAATTCCGCATCCCTCATGAAAGTTAACAGTGGAGGAAAAAGAGCACATTTCATAGCAGTTTGAAGTAAAATCTAAAACAGGTTGTATCTGGCTGCTTTTCTTGTAAATACTGTAGAGTAATTCAGCTGAAAACAGAATCTTCCTACAGTCTTCATGTTAATTTAAAAAAATAAAACAAACAAACAAAAAAAACCCTCATCAAAATGGTTATTAGAGTATGCATGCTACTCTGCCTTCAGCCATAACAGGCTTTCTTTACACCAACATGCTTATTGTAGCTATACTTCTATAAATCTACAGGAAAAATGTTCATAGCTCTAGAGTATCTATGGATGAAAAATATAAGCTTAATAATCTTTATGAATGATTGAAATATCAGATTTGTATATTGCGGAGTATTTAAGGTGAACCTGTTTCTGTACCGTTAGCGTGTGTATAGTAAGTGGTGTATTCAGACTGCTATGTTAGTACGTAATTCCAGTGAATGCATTTCACACTACATAAAGCTTCCCCCAGTCCAAGAGTGATGAAAGATTTCATTTCAGTTTCTGAGATTTTGCATTAATATTTTTAATGCTTCTGCATCCTTTGCTTGGGGAAGGGAATTTATGATGGGAGTTACAATTATTTTCAACATGTATGTTTCTTATTTCTCATAAAAGTTTCTTCCTATGTGTATATATATCTATATAAGTAAAATGCTTAGTTCTGTAAGTACATATAAGCACGAAAGAAGAAAAGAATAAATTGCCTTATTGCCTTTGAAATAAATCAAATTATAGGTGATGTTTCTTGTAGATTGTAGTGTAGACATCAAGGATGTGGTATCAAGTGGCACTTGATTCATCTTGCATAAAATGTCTTCATGGAGATCTGAGCTTAATAAGCATATAGGCCAAATCCTGTTTGTTTCATGGTTAGAATTTAGTTGTGTTGTTTAAAAAGCTTGAAGAAAAAGCCCTATTTTTGACTCATACATTAAAGGAATGTTTCTTTGTATTTGCTTCTTAAAAAGTGTGTATTCCACTGAATATTATAAAAAAAAAAAAAAAAAAAAAAACCTCTTTGAGCAAATTGAATGCAGTATAATAACACATTGTTTATTCTAAGCATTTAGCTGGAGATAACCTTAGAATTTACCATGTTCCAAATTTATAGAACATTGTTTGTTTACCTAAATACTTTGGTTCAGACTTAATCCCCTGCAAAGCTGCTTAATTTTCAACCACTTTTTTCAAAGTCTAAATGTTGCTTGCATTGTTCATTATATGATATGCTCATATCCTTGTTAATCCACATTTTGAAATTAATGTTCGCTGGAGTAACAATTGATTATTGCCATGGTAATCGTGCATTTATTCTTTACTGTTGCATGTTTCTTGATCGAGAAAATATTACAATGAAAAAGAATTTTCCTGATGATATAACCGGGAGGAAACAACAACAGCAACAAGAACTTAGTTGTTTCTACTTTTATATGTTACTGAGGATGGAAAGAGCTTAGTAAGAACTTTGTATTTTACTTCTGCTGTCATTCATGACAGCATGAGCATCAATCCTAAACAGCTGAATTAAAACAGGGTAAAATTTATGTCTGCTTATATTAATGGAAGTATACATGAAATCTGAAATATTACTGCTGTCATTTAAATTTTGTAATTTATGTCCTATGTTCAAAAGATAAAGGAACCAGGTAATCTTTCTTGTTACTGTGACTGTCACTGTCATGGTGGTTTGTTCTGATTCATTTTTATTTGATAGAATTTTATGATTTTAAATTGTGTTCTCTTCAAGGTTCTGGGTGTCCTTTAATGAAAACAGCTATTCATCATCTCAAGCAAATCAACAGAGACAGTCTTGATGTTTCAGGTAAATGGTTTCAGTTAATATCAAGAGCAAAATACCTAAATCCATTGACTAGGAGTGGAAATAAAGATAGTTTCTAATGCTGCTGGCTTAAAAAACATCATACAACTTGTTATCATCATTCTCCAAAAACAGCTGTTGTTAGGAAAGTGATATTAAAGTTGGAAACTATTGGTTGAAGTTCATGCTTCATTCCATTTTCTTTTCATGAAGACATGCTTCATTCCATTTTCTTTTTTTCCTAATGGTCTTTGTTAATGGCAGTGCAAATAATAATAGGAAATAACTGATCATTTATCAGGTAGCAAAGTTAGTTTCAACTACTGTGTGAATTTTGCAGTGATAGTTTCTTCTGTTGATTAAAACAAAAATAAACTAAATCAGTGTATCATACTTTGCAGGGTTTGATCTCACAGAAAGCTTTTCTTTGCGACAAACGTCTTGTGGAGGGGTAAAAGTCTGTTTTAAACTGGGAAGCGCTCCTCTCATCAGAGAAACAAAGTAAGTAAGGTATTGCTTTCATCCTAGAGTCTTTAATAGATGGAGCTCAAAGTGGGTACTACTTATGATCTGGAACACTAAGCAATATATCCAAGGATACCACAGAAAGATAAGTATGTCAATTTTTAGGCATTTGCATCCATTACAGTTTTTATTTTGGGAAGCAGTCTGATTCAGAAGTTTCCTTTTCTGAAAACCAGAAGTATCTAGTAGAGAGTCAATTGGAATTGTATTGTTCTCAACCTGTGATTCGAATACAGAAAACTCTACTGTTTATATTTAAAGGTCGACAAAACCAAAAGAAACAGATAAGTTTCATAGTATGACATGAAGTGTTTACTAGTCTTCCCTTTATGAAATTCAATGTTTGCAGGGTTAAAATGAGTCACTGTTTCCTTAAGCGCTGTTTTTATAGTTGTGTCCTTTCAGTGACTTTTACATCTTTCCTTTGTTCACCAACAAAATGGCTGGTACTCAGTGTAGAGGTGAAACTTGGTAGTGTGCTATTCTGACACAGGATGAAAGGCTGAAGCTGCATGAAAAGTCAAAAGGAAGGTGCAGAGGGACAAGGTACAAAGGTACAATGGAACTGGAAAGACTTAAGATTTCGCTGGGGCAAGGAAATGGTGAGATACGGTTAGAAATGTAGTTTCAAGTTCCACATCCTTGGACAGTGAAGAGAATCTTTTCAGAGCTTCGTGGTTGTGATGTGCTCTGAGTCATGGTACTGCAGTTTCAGTACAGTGTGTTCCTGTGATAATGTGGGAAGCAACTGTGTTGAGTACTGGGTATTCTCTGGTGCAAGAGTTCTGACTCTTGGTTGTGTAAGGAAAAAATACACCCAAGCCCTCAGAATTCCCCTTTGGTTGGATCCTGGGAAAAGTGATGTGAGCACCAGAAGATCAGGAACTGAAAGAGAAAGTCAAAAGAAGAATTGGAGAGGCCCAGACACTAAAGTAATCCTCGGGAGCGAAGAATGGTTGAAGAAATATAACTTTTTTTTTTTTTTCTAGTTTACTATAGTCATTTTTTTATTTTTTAAGGTATTGGATTCTGTAAATATTAAATTTGTGGGTTGTGTAATTCTTTAAAATTATATCATAACTGCACTTTCTAGTATATTTTGTTTTCTATTGAAGGAAAAATGACTACAAAAAATTGGTGCAGACAGAGCTCTATTCTAATTAGCATCTTCCTCTCTTCCAGATTTTTATAGATTTATTTTGGGACTATTATTTGAGATAAAAATAAGAATATAGAAAAGTAGAAAATCAAGACAGTAACAGAAAATTTGGGACAATTTTTCTTCTTTAGAAATAGGAAATTGAGTAGAGCTAAGTGTATAATCAAAAATGCATAATGCAAGCTGATTTTTTTTTATGAAATTCCAGGAAAATAACAAAATTGGAATAAAAGAAAATAAAAATTAAGAGAATGGAATAAAGAATTTTATTTTTAATTCATATTACTTTTTGGAGGAAAGTCATTCCTAAGAGTTTGATATTTTTGAAGCTGTCCAATCCATGATGGTAAGACTGAAAAACATGAAGTTCTTTACTTGCTATTATTAATAAGCCTGAATACCGATGTCTGTGTTATTTTATTTCGTCTTTCAAAAGCAATTATTAATGAAAGCAATGAAAAAATGGTGAAGTCATATTATGGTTGATAGCTGCTGCTTAGCAAAGCCTTAACTCCCAGAAGTTGGAAGGAAATACGGTAGAAAGCAAGAATGCTTCTATTTTTACTTTCCTTATGAGTGGGAGAGAAATTTAACAGATTATTTTTTGTTGTTGTTTATCTGTTCATCTTTTTGACAGTAAGATGACTCTTTGCGACAGAAGTAGGGAAAATGGAAATGGCTAGTTTTCCTTTATTTCCCAAGTACCAATGTCCCAAAATTCTTTGTTCCCTGCCCAAGTTAAAGGAATGCCTGGAGGGCAGGTGGTTTGGCCTTACTACTTTTTATTGTGCTTCTCATATTCCTCTTCCTCTCCATTGTTTTCTTCTGTATATATATTTTGAGAAAAACTGAAGTGGAAGTCTTTCCTTTCCCCTAAAAATCAGTATCCAATAGATGCTTCAGCTGGATGAAGCTGAAATGATAACTGAAAGTTGGATGAAGCCGAAATGAACATAAGTGTTGATGTTTGAATGTAGTTAGACTGAAAAACAATATTGCGTTACTGATGCTAATAATATACGACATGAGCTATTCTGCCAGCTCCCTTGGAATGACACCTTTTATACAAATTACTTTGAACAAAAAATAAAAGAGCTGAAGTGTTTTAACATTGCTGAAAATATTACAGAATTTGCTCTAAATCTTATTTCTTAATGGCACAGCCTTGCTTTTGCTTTTTCAAATCTGTTCTCAGAGGGAAATGCATTTCATAATTAAGAATTTACTTTTTTATTTAAAATGTTGTATATGTAACAGCTTTTTGTTACTGAGATAAGAATTCAGACCTTTTTTAAGTATTTCTTCATAGTACTTCTGATTATCTTCTGAACTTAGACATTGTTTTATTGATGTTTTTTTTTAAATAAGGGCATATGGCAGTTAGGAGTACAAAGTCAGTCTTTGACATTGTGGGTTTACCAAGAAGCAAGAACTTAAATACCTGGTCATAATTTTATAATCTACTTTATCTCAGATATCCATGTCCAATATCTTCAAGCGTATTATTTTATTTAAATCCTCTCCTGGTTCTGTTCAGATTGTGTAGCTCCAGGGCAGTTGTGTTATTAGATGCTCAGAGTTTTTTAGGACCGTTCTGTCTCAGAAAATATGTTAGTAGACGTGGTGTGCAGTAAGTAGAAGGGCAGTGTTTGTTATCCATCATGCAGGAAACTCAGAGTATCTGATTAAGCTGACTAGCAAGTATCAAGTAACTTGGTATGTCTCCTCTTGCATTTCATTCATTCAGTCGTAGTGTGGGTAATAGCAAGCTATGCTGTGCCATTTTTCTTGTGTGATGCCATTTTAATTTTTTCTCAATGGACCTGGAGTAGTGTTGCACCTATTTATATGTTGTAAATAACTTACAATGAAGTGTCAGCTTGAGAAAACGATTATGTCTATTTATGCTGAATTTTAGTTTAATTTCTTTATCTTTTCTGGAAAGGAAATTCTGTTCATGTTTTGCCTTAAGGTAGGAGGTGGATAATTTTTTTATGCTCCATATATGTAACTAATTCTAATCTGTGAATATTTTCAGTATGAGTGACTTTTTAATTAAAATACTGTTAGTTATATATTGTTATTGTTATGTGAACATTAGTATGCATCATTACTTCAGTCAGGAATATGTGAGCCTCTGAATCCTAAAGAAATTAACTCTAAAATACAGAAATGCAAACAATCTAGTTATTCAATAATAATGATACTAAATATTTTAATTTCATTTCAATACATGCATTATGGAGTCACATTTTGTTAGCTAGAGGTTAATGTATGCTGCCTATGCAGTGTATGTTAGCTTGGCTTTGTGCCCACTGACAGCCATGCAAGGTTCTATGCAGATAGCAACTCACAGATTTGCTGGCAATATTCAGGACTTCTGAGGTGAGGCCTCTTAGACTGGGCTTTGCTCTTTAGTTGTCTCAGAGTAATAAGTGAGATGCTGAAGTAGTTTCACTGTCATTCTCTGAAAGTGTTTCAGGTGTTGGTTGTGCCCACTGGGCTTGCTGGTGGGCCCATTCTTTCTGCTCTGCAATTTCTGTCCAAAGCCAAAAAGGGAAATAGTAAATTGCTTTCATCTGAGTTTCAGAATATTTTTAAGATGGGTTTCACTTGCTTATGAAATCTTAACGGTGTCATTGTTTTCTTATTTTATATTTTGGTTTGATTAAATCATATTAATTTACTGATGTGATTGCAGGAGCTGGCTGATAGAATGTTCTCAGATTTACAGCAATTTAATTACTCATGACTTTTTTAGGAATCCTTCCACATTTGGTCTAAAATAATGAGAAGATCTTGGATTTTGACTGTATTTGGACCACTGAGCGCTATCAGCACTGCTGTCACTTATTGCTGCTGAAAGAGCAGTGACTGCAGCTTGGGCTGTGTTTCAGACAAAGTATTTTCACCCTTTAGTGATGTCTAGTTACCAAGTGCAGAAGTACTGTTACCACTTTTGTCAGTCCTCTCCAGGCTAAAAACAGAAATAAACGATAGAAGAGTATCTATGAATGTGTTTTGTTTGGTTTCGATGGAAACTTTTAAAATTGCAGTATCTGTAATACAGAGTTAAATTTCCTGAACCCAGCTGGCATGTAGCAAGTCAGTTTCTATGCTCACTTGTAGAAGCCTTTTTATAGCTAGCACTTTGCTCCCAAAGGCACCCATCTCTGTGTGGCTGCCTAAACAAGCGAGTGGCAGCCCTGCATCCTATAGTGGGGTTGGAACTGTGGATGTTCTTTAAGGTTCCTTCCAACCCAAGCTGTTCTGTGATTCTATGACTTCCTTCTCCAAAAAAAAAAAAAAAAAAAGCCCAGTGATTCACAATAGAATTCAGCCATCATTGAACATGTACATGGGTATGACTTCTGATTTGCTTTGTATTGCGTGTATTTTGGTTCAGCCATCTTCTTGAAAAATATTAATATCTATGTGTATATATATATATATATGTATATATGTACACTACTTTTTAATATATATTTCTTAAATGTGATACAGATTGGTTAGCTATGCAGTTTGACAGTTTTTAAAAGGTTTCATCAAACATTTCTATAATAATCCAGTTAAGCATTAGAATGGCGATGAGATGGCACCTCTGTGTGGTAGCAGTAATTATAGCTATGCTAACTAGCTTTTATGTACTTATTTGAAATCCTGTTAGCCTTCCGGCTATTTAAATATTAAATAGCTATTTAGGAAAAGCCACCTCTCCCTTCCTATATCGTGTATTTATTTGGGATCATTAGAGCTGCTTGAGCCAACAACGCTAAGATTGCAATGTCTGGTATTTTGGTTGTAGGGTATTTTCAAG